ACACTTTTAAAAACATACGCCTATGTGGGCATCATCATCATGTCGTACCCCGGCCGTAATAGGCTCGGTAAAAATGTAACCCGGCCGTCATAAGGCTCGGTAAAATTGTACCAGGCCACATGGAGCTCGGTAAAACCCAACTGATTAGTGGTTGCACAGTAGGTGCCATACCCAACCGACTATAGCGCGGCTCGGTAGAGTAAAATAGATACATATATATAATGCATGTTGGACTCATACAATCACGTTCTAAACCTTTTGGAGTGACGTAAGGTCAGTAACCTTCATATACGTTATTAGAGCTAATTCATCATCATGAATCTTATAGAAATCAGGAAATACCAACAACATTTGTTACCTAAAAATAAGAGAAGCAACATCAACATCAATCTTTCCATAAGAAGGGAAACAATATGAGTACTGCTAGCTTCTAAGAGTGGAGTATCTTTGGAAGCTCATTCGTTACATTATGTACAATCGAAGTCGTGCAAAAGAAAGAAAGAGATAGCCTCACATACTTTGTATATACTGCCCAACCTCAAGCTATGCAAGTCTCACGGCTCCTTAGTCTACAATAAGAGAAATGATACTATCGTTATCGTTTAAGCGTCGTAACTAGTACATATCAACTGCAACCTATTTTACGATGAAACAGACAGCACCTCCCCTATTTATATGACTTCTCACAAGTTAAAACAATCACCAAACAGCCCAAACAACATCAATAATAATCATATTAAGCATCCCAAAACAGTCCACCAATCAACAACATTACTAACAAGCCTTTCGACAGATATCTCACAAGTTCTAGCTTTAACAACTTAGCCGCAACTTGGATAAGCTTAAATACATGTAGAGTAAGACGTTCCTTACCTTTACTGAGATAGGAACAACTCCAATTTGAGCTTACTTCACCACGAAATATCCTACCAATGCAGCCATAAAAACAAGGAAGCGAAACTAGCAATCAATTCGGGTTCCTCGGCACTAGAATCACTTTGAAAGACTTGAAATCACCTAGGGTTGATATTAAAAACTTGAGAGATTATTTTACAAAACTTAAAACAACCTCCCACACGAGCTGGAACCACACAAAAATCAGCAACAACAAGAAGAACAAGAAACTTACTAGCGCCACGGGATTCCCGACACTTTATTTGTGTTGTTTGCCCTTTGTATGGGTCTTGTATCATGAGAGAACTTTGAGAGAAAGTTTTTAGGTGTCTAGGGTAAGAAGAGAGTGAAAAATAATGAGTTAAAACAGGCTTAAGGAGTCTCATATATATCAATATATCTCAACCGCCTAAGTGGGTTCCATAGAGAGCTGCTTGCATAGTCTCGCAAAAACGCAAATATCTCTCTACTCCGACGTCATATCGATGAACGATTTAATGCGTTAGAAACTAGACTCATAGATCTTCAAACTGGGGGGTGAATCACCCTGTAATTCCAAATAAATTGGGAGAAAATTTAAGTAACATTTGACCTAAATTTTATGTAAAATTATGAACGTAAGTTGCGACAACTTTTGTCGACTTTTGTTTCATAGATCGCTTGACTTCAAGACTTATGATACAGATATTATATGATTCAAATACCTTAAAACACGACCTCCTTAGCATATTAAGCACCTCTAGTTTTATCCGAAAATAAGGGTTACAACATCCTTGATTTGTTTAACTTCTAACTTCTAATACTTGTTAACCACTCTTATACACCCTTGTATCATTTAAGACCACTGGGATTAACTTCTTATCATCTCAAAGATAATCTCTTCCCGGAATTACGTCGACTAACTTACGGCGTGATCTAACGTATGCGAATATGGGTTGTAATAGAGGAAGTTCCTTATACGAAGGATTTACATGAGATGAATAGAAAGTGTTCAACATATCAAACTATGATTTTAGACACTAGAGTTCAGATTTTGACTTTTAGAATAGTTGTAGTTATTAATAAGTTTTCAAATATATTAGAAGAGGCGTATGTAGTGAAAATATGAAAAGATAAATTGAGTGTAACGAAGAAGTATTCGTACCTCTCTTTTTTAAGGTATTGCTTGTTTAACATTCGAGAACGAATATTTTTTTTAGTGGGGGAGAATGTAATAACCCGAAATTTTATATGTATACTTACTAATTGTAAAATTTGAGAAAGAAAAAAAATTATTTAACTTGTAGCTATTGGGCCACACACTACACAAACCTTAGAAATTAATTTTCATTAAAGGGATACAGTAAGTGGGCCAAGCCCAATCTTTTGTAGCTGCCACGTTTTAAGACCTAGGGAAATTGATCCCTTTGTTCCTGAAGCATATATAAGGGAAACACAGAGGAGAGCTTCAGGGGGGTTGGACGGCGGGATTGAGGGAAGTAATTGAAACAAGCACTGTGAAGGTTTAATAGCTCAGGTGTGGAGATTTACTTTGATTTGTTAGCTCACACTTTTGAGTATTATATATACATACCTTGTAGAGATATTTTTTTAAAAAAATAATGGCATCATAATAAACTAATGATTATTATTATGATTAGCCAATAATATTAGGATGGCAGTAACTTGCATCAGAAATTCAACTTTCGATTTATACTTTTGCTTCTTTTAAAAAATTAGAATACTAATGATTAGCCAATAATTATTTAATAATGAGAGGCTAGAGTAATTATGATTCAATGGTTGACAATGATTAGAATAATTATAATGAGTTAGGTGGATTAAGCATCAGAATGCATTCTGCAGCCAACTCTTTTTCGGTATTCTCTTTCACGTTCTGCGTTTAACGAATTGTGTACATATTTTATTAATTAGACTAGGGTTAACTTTAATTTTGACTCGTCCTAAGATTATGAAAATTATTCACCTAGCTTAATTAGGACGTGTTATTTAATATTTTAGATAGATTGAGGAGATTGGAGGTTGTTTGCTTGGTGTTCTGGATGTTGCAAGGTTGGGAAAGTGAGACTTTAAGCTTTGGTGTTTGCCTTTTCAAAACCCATTTTGAAAGTATGTTTTGTCTGACAGGTCTATGTGTTGGGACTAGCGTGCGCTCGACAGAATCGGTGGTCTTTGACCAGCCACAAATATATATTATTTTGTAAAAAAATTTAAAAATATTTATAAGTGATTTGTTGTGTGGTGTGATGTGGCATAGCCTCGTGCTATGCCGTTGGGGCGTTAGAAATTATTTCTTCGCTACCGTAATATATTTAGGGTATTGTGTATGCCGCCGTGATAGATTTGAGGCATTGTGTATGTTGTCGTGGACTCGTTGGGGTGTATGGTTAATTTTTTTCATTGTCGTTTATGACAAGTCCTTAGTATAGATTGTGCTGAGATATATGGTATTGTTGTTGAATAATTGTTTGGGCCTTATAGAGTTATTATATAGTGAAAGAATTTTTGGGCATATTATTTATGTGCTCGTTGAGTGTTTGTATTTTCGAACACTTATTCCATAGGTATTCAGAGTGGCGGGTCGAGAATCTTATTGAGTTATATTTACGTATAACTCACTCCTTACTTGCATGTCCATGCAGATACTGTTGACGAGGACGAGACTAGTGGCTAACAAGTTCGTTGAGTGGATTCCATTGCTGAGGTGAGCCGCCACATCATTCATGGAGGCCACTGTTTCAGTTCTACCTATCTTATGTTTATTATTTCTTTCGGGTTTGCATGCCCGTCGGTTTGACTTCTATTACTCTATTTAGATGTTGCACTGTCTTAGTATGGAATTTGGGTTAGAGATTTATTATTTGAGGGCTCATCATAATTTATAAATAAATTATGGTTTTAGTTGGATAATTATTTTATATTTAGTAATATTTAATGCGTTTGAACTAGTACGTATTTCTCTCAATGCTTATAAAAGGGTTAAGAATACAGGAATTGGTTCGCCTAGCGGGTAGTGTTAGCTGGGTGCCAGTCATGTCTAGGGAGTTTTGGACGTGACACTTAACAGATAGGAAATCGTAAGTACGGATGCAATGCACCTAACAGTTAAAAACGCTTCTATCGTGTATTTGAAAGGTTGCATGTTTCATCCCGGCTTATTTATTATCTCGCTCTATTTTTCATACCTCTTTTATATTACATCTCTCTTTTCTTTTCTTTTTTTTTAAAACTCTCTTTTTGGTCTTATCGCTCTTTGTTTTCTCTTTTTGTTTTGCTTTTTCCACTCATATTTCATTCGTGGTTTTGTTCGGGTTTTAGATCGCATCCTTCGAGGATTGCCTACGTATCATGATGTCGCTTGAATCAGACCATCACGTAGTTCAGAAAAATAAATGCAAAAATAAAAGGAGAGAATTTATAAGTTTTCAATATTTCATTAAACAAAAATCTTTTTGGGTTTTTAATACAAAGACTTTAAATGATATTAAAATTGACTTAGAAAAAAACATACAGACTCAAAGTGAAAGATAAACAACAGACTCGAAATGGACAATAAACAACAGATTCGAAATGGATAATAAACAACAGACTTGATGTGGGAAAGTAAACTACAGACTCGATAATCAAACGCAACTGATACAATGGACAAGCAGGGCCTCGTGTGACATCTGTTAGTCACTGCGTCGGTATGTTTCCAATAAAAAACTTCTAGATCACTCATGACCTGGCCAACAAAAGTCAACATTGTGGAGAAGAACATGACCATGGTCATCTTTTCACAGTCATTGCATTTCTTGGCAGCATAGTCGGATATTTCCTGAATGCTGAACTTCGTGATTCTTTGGTCCAGAAATATTAGTCTAATATGTAGATCTCGGGCTCCTACCAAGTATTATGTCTGATCCCTCTTGTTTTGTGGGTCTACCACATTCCCCTACAACTGGTTTAGCAAGTTGTAATAGTGTTCTCTTTCTGCCTTAAAGTCCTTAACTTGTTGACTCATTTTATTTTCAAGGATGGCCAAATCTTTCCTTAAACCAGCAACTTCTTCTTCGTGATTTTGCTTTGCTTGGCAGGCCAACCTTAGGCGGTTCTCAAAATCTTCACCTAATTGAACTATCCTCTCACGGGCCCTTGCTATCTCTTTCTTAGTTTTTGTCAAATCGGTTGCGTGATCAAACACACACTGCCTCAAATTTTTGATGATTTATTGATGTCTTTCACTTCTTACTTGTACCTCTGATGCCCTTTTCATCTCTCAGAGTTGGGTTCGAAGGGCCACATTATCGCGAGCCAATCTCTTCTTTTCTCTGTCATCCTCGGTAGCTTGCAATTCCTTCTCAAAGCTAAGGACCCTCACTTGCTCTTGTAGGGTATTGATTGTGGCCCTGTATTTTTCTATTTTTGCTACCCAAGCTCAGTGTTCTTGTGCCCTATCACCAAACTCTTGGACGTGGGGCCTCTTGGCTGGTCTTTTAGACTCATTATTTACCATTGCTCTCTTTCCATACTAAGTAGCATATCCGAGTTCAACCTCACCCTTTGATAAATCATGTACTCAGATATCTGGCCCCAAATACTGGCATTCACTCCAAATCTGGCGGACTATATTTTTGGGAAACTGAGCTTTGGGACGTAACTCGATAACATGAACACTAAGGTCCTCATCTTGAGGAACTAGCTGGCACCAGTAGCCGGGATGCGGCGTACGACTGAATAACGCGGAGACCCATCAAGAGAAAATAAGAACCAGTGGCATACATATGAATGATCTCGTTAGCAGAAAGCCAACCCAGGATCCACTCTATCTGACTTGAAGTTAATGAACGAAGGCGGGTGATCCAAGCCCTAACCCATTCTGGCATTATGAAACCAGTCACCCTTTTTTCAAACTCTTCAATGCAACTGGCCCCTAGCACCGCAGTTCATATATATGCGACGATGAAAAAAGTGATCTATCAACCACATTTGTAGCAATAGGATGCATCCCTAAAAAATTTGGCTTCGGCCTTGCAAGATGTCGAAGCTCGGAATATGTCTAATACAATCATAGGTATAAGGGTTCTTTTGTCTTGGGTAGTCAAAACTAGAACAACTCCGGCTAGGCGTAAATCAATGTTTCTATCCTCTCTCGAGAACACCAAGGTGCCTAAAAATGCCACTGTGAAATCAAAACCCCTGTGCATCTCCCACTTGGTCCGATTGCCTTTGTTGCAAAGCCCGTTTTCTTGAATCTCAAACCCCTTCGAATTCCCACAATGCTGATACAAAAATTGGAAAGAGCAAAACCCATCTGCCAGGTCCACGGTCTTAATCTTCCTTCTTATCTTCAAGAGATCTAAAAACCTGTGAGGAATGACGATCCTTAGGGCTATCAAATATTTTTTTACCTTAACCCTTCTGTAGTTCCAGCATAGCCCGCTATTTCCTCTGAAGTAGGTGTTAGCTCAAAGTTCGAGAAACGAATCATATTGTGAGCTGGATCCCAGAATAGCACCAATACCCCTATCAAGTCACTTCTGGGCTTAATCTTTAACAAACTGGTGAGTGCCCCCCAAGTAATGATTGACTAGATCCCATCCTTTTTACCCCAAGTCATCCCACCATATATGGAGCTTCAATGGGATCTCATCTATGACTCGTAGAGGTAAATTTTGGATAGTGCTCATTCTGCACATTTAAAGGATAAAATGGGTCAAAAAAGGGATATTATTTTCAAAATAACTATAGAAAAATAAATTTCGCAAAAATCTGATTTTTAAAACCAAGAAAAACACTCAGGTGGCCACTATTGTAAACACGACCCTTCAGCACTTCGGGGGATGATTTTAGGGTTGTGCCTGCTCAAGTGGCACAAAGTTTGAGGAAAAAGGGCCCAATGCTGCTATTTTGGTAAAAACAACCTTTCGGCGTCTCGAAGGAACATTTCTTGGCTATTTGGACAAGAACGGCGTAACACGACTTTATTTTGGAATCTACTTACTATAGTTCTCATTTTGGTCATACTTGTAAAAGGCGGGGCCAAACCTGATGAAGGTTGCCTACGTATATCACGACCAGTGAGAATTAGACCCGCGTAGTTCGGTAAATTTTTTCAAAACAGGGAGGATGCACGACACTTTGAAGATTTTGGCTCATTTGGTAACCACCTTTAAACTTTTTGATAAGGTTTCAGGATTTTTCAAATACCGGAATTTTACAAACAAAACGGGTGAATTTCTCTCATATATTCTCTCTCCTAATTTTTCGCGATTCTTTGCTATTTTAGAATCCAGTCAACATGCAACACATACCAAACAAATGTATAAGTAGCATGTAAGATGCATCACGCATGGTCTTTTAATCTTAGGTACAATTGTCCTAGACGGACTCAACCCCTGTGTTGAGTCCCCAAAGTCAAATACACATGATGTAAACAAGTGTACCTACTAGGGATCCAGCATGGGGCTATGTTATTCTAGGGTAAAGCCTTAAATGGCGTGGAATTCTAGACCTAGCTTACCCGAGCAGACAACTCGAGCCGGCGGAGGGGGGTAATATACCGGAAACCAAACAGCCATCTGGCTTTGTAACTAATCTGATCCCCATTCTAAGATTATGGGTGTGACACTTCTAAAAGAAAAGAGCCACACATACGTGCGCTCACAGTAGATGCAGTAAACTCAGAGAGAAGAAGGGTGTCGTAACAGTTGTTTATATACAATTCACAAATATTAAAGCTACAAATAAGCGGCACTTAGCACATTAGGCCTAAATATGTAATATTAGACAATCACAAGAAGACAATTATAAAAGTACTTTAAGCTCGAATTCTGAACCCTGAACCACAGATTCTAGGTTCGTGTCCCCAGGAGAGTCGCCAGAGCTGTCATACCTCCTTTTTCTCGGGGATTGTGGAAAGAAAGGAATTTTTTCGATTTAAGTGACATTATTGAAAAGGAATTAATTTTATTTTAATTTTTGAGTCGCCACTTGAAATAATTTAATTATGGTATTCCTAGTCACCGATTTATTTTAAATCCCAATTTAAGGAAAATTGACTCTGTTTAAGTGTGCGAAATACAGAACATCGTGTAAAAAATTATGTTAACCTGGGAGAAGGTGTGAAGCATGCTTGGATTTCGTGATTTTAGCACGGTCACTTAACAATTATATTTGGCTTAATTAATTTGATTATTATATATTTTAAACTTATGTGCATTTACCTTTTACCGCTTTTAATTGTATGTTTTTAACAATTAATGGAATTTATTTTAAACAAGTTACGATGTCGTACACTTGTTATTTTGTACACATTATAAATCACGTCACGTGAAATGCACCCGCAATTTACAATATGTTTATTTATCAAATTATTTGAAGTTGAGGATCAAGTTTCACGAACACACACTTGAATTGTTGAATTAGGTGTCATAATTATGCCACGGGAACCGTACCCAAAAATGCGATGATTTATTTTTATAAGCGCGCCTAAAGCAACTACAAATGTTCATAAGGTATTTTCCTAAACTAGTTTAAGGTTATTTGGTTAAGATCATTGCATATGGATATGTTGTGATAGGCCACGTATAATCTTTTTACTTGGACTAATTAATTGTTTGGGTTCTATTTAATCAATTAAGACTGATGTTATTCCTATTGTTGGTTATTTCTATTAACTAAATGTTGTGATGAGAAGATTGCTTAGCACTACAAAAGATCACAATTGAAAATGAGAATTTGATTGGTTCATTTTATAAAAGGCATCAGCAACGGATTTTTAACGAGTCTAAAGAACCACAACTTTGCTGGTTTTGTATATTAAAGAAAAATTATAAGTTTGGGCCTCGTTTAAATCTGCCTTCTAATAGATGAAGCCATACGCGAAGGATGCAGGCCTGGCCTGCTGGATTTAACTAGGCCCCAATCGAGTTCTTAATGATAAAGCCCAAAATCCTCAAAGGATATCAATTAAAGGATGGGCCTGAGGATAGGCGTGATTATAATTAGTCGTACCAGGCCTGGCTGGGCTGAATTCAAGTTTAGTCCAACTTCATTAACTTCGAAAGATCTGGGCTTCTAAAAAAGGACCGTCAAAACTAAATACTAGTTACCAACAGTGGCAACCACAACTTCCAATCATTAATCTAACCAAATACACAGCTGATGAAATCAACATTTTAATCATACATCACGGCTTAAACAAAACAGGAATTACATGGATTTTGCTAATCTGGATTCAGTTATGTGAATAACTATCTCCAATTCGTCTAGCCTAGCATTTATTCATGCGGACTCGGAATTTACACCCATATCTCGTGCACATCCATCAAGCAAACAAAAGTGAAGACTAAGATCCACCAGTCAATCTTTTGAAAATTATACATATGACATTAATAATATAACAATTGCACTCCTTCAAACTTAATAAGCCTTAATGTTCATAGATTTTTATACGAAATCATAACTTGATGTTGATAATCATTTTATTGTTAATTATGCTCACAACATGCCTTAACTATTCAATTAGTCATTGTATCAAGCATTTCAAGTATGTTTAGCATGTAACCAATAATTAAAATTAGAAGATGAGCCAAACAAAGGTCACATCACAAAAATTAGAAATTCATCATGCAGAAGAGTCGAGATACAAAGTAAGAAAAGTGTACCTAGTGTTCACATACCACTTATAATGCCAAATAAAGGCTAAGAAAGAAGAAGGATGGAGGGAGCTCAGCGAACAAGACAACAAAATCAGCAGCAACTAGAACCACTTTAGACTAAATTTACTCTTTGAAAATCCAGAAAAATACGAAGCAAACAAACAGAATTCAAAACAGCCTTTTCAATCCTTCTCTTATCCAATCTTTCTTTATTTTTTATGCATTTTCTTCTTCTAAATTAGTATTTTATGGGCAGCCTAATGTGTGTTTCTTAACTGATGAAGAGTCCCTCATATGTGAGGAAGAACACCTACTTATAATCTAGAATTTAGGGCTTTTCCTTTTAAATTCTTTTGCACCCCCTACTCCTTCTGCTTTTAAACACCTATGTCCCTCACACGACCTCTTTCTAGAGGGTTTCCTCTTCTTCTTTGCTACTTAGTCCTTTTCCCTATTTCCTGAAAACTTCCCAAGCAGTTAACAAAAAGATTTCTTAAGTTTATTTTTCCAATTACCCCTTTAAACCCCTGCTTTTACATTTTCTACCTTACCCTTTTAACAGCCTTCCCCGAATTACGGCCTCCTATTATAAACCTTATCAGATTCTAAAGGAAAAAGAATGGGCTTAGACCCATCTGTCCGACCCAGGAAATTGCTTACCCAATGGACACATGGGCTTGTACACCCGCTGAGAACAAGTCCAATCTATCAGATCCTCACAATTAACCAACAAATCAAGACAGCAAAATAATCCAAATTTAACAAACAATCACTAAGCAAATAAATTTTGACACGAAATCTAGCTTATTAGTAAACATGCAAACACTAGAGAACGTATATGAACAAAGGCTAAGAATAGAGAACCTAACCCAAATTCTGCCATTGAAATAACAAGACGGCAGGAAGGAGTAAAAAGGGAAAAGTAGAGAAATACCTTTCAAAAATCCTGAGCCAACGGGAGAAAATTAGATTCTGGCCGGTCAACGGTGAGTTGACTAGCGCCGATTGCCATTGAAATCTACCGAAACTGACATCAATTCCTGTTGGTTACAACCATGAATTGGGCTGGAAATGAAAAGGGGGAAACGACGGTTACGGTTTCGAGTCTAGTGGTAACGGGATGAAAATGGAGGTTCAATTTTGATGTAATGGGATAGGGAATAAGAGGAGGAGTCGATTGATATCGGTTTGCGGGGATTTGGTTGACTTTGTCCAGCGGAGACAATTTTCGGTCGGCGATTCATAGCGTAGAGGGGTGGAGAAGACGATGGGGTGATTAAGATTTAGAGTTTCGTCGTTTGGGCCATTTTATGAGATGGGAAATTAATTTTCGATTGTCGGATCAAAGGGAATGAAGGGTAGAGATGAAAATTTGACTAAAACTTGACACGAAACAGCATGAGTGGTCTTCCTGGACCGGGTATTTGGACTGATATGAGTATTGGGTTATTGAAGTAACCCGGTCGTCAAAATTGCCTAGCCCAATTGAAATGGAGAACAGATGGCCCCTTTAATCTTTTATTTTAAAATTCAACATTAGCCACTTAGTTCAATGTTCTAATTTAGGCTTGATTTTGCAAAATTAACCTGATTACCTATTTTATGTAACCATTAACTAAATAATTAATTAATATTACAAGTTAACAAAAGTATAATTAACTAAACCTGAAATGCAGAAAATGACTAGATTATTCATTTTTTGGGATTTTTATACTTTAACGATGCATTTAAAATGCGGTTAAATCTTAAAAATGCATTTAAGATCCTGAAATGCAATTAAATGAAAGATGAAATAATTTTGATGATTTTATGTACTTTCTGCAGTTTCCTAAATGAAGCAATAATGTGAATGACCTAATAATGCCATAAAATGCATTCAAATAAATAACAAAATTGCTAAAATTCTACAAAATAATTAAGAGCTAATTTTTTACTATTTTAGGAGTAGTTTAAGCACAGGGCAAAAATTATGTGCTCACAGTTATCATATGAATTAATGTTTTTAATTTATAAAGTTTAGCAGGATCACAAAATTATCCACACGTCTTGGGGGTACTTATACTAGTAATTAAATAAAATTGAGAATTTTAATCAAGGTTTTAGTTTAGTTTGCAGGAATTTCAATCATTTTCTTATCAAATCTGAAGACTTAAATAATTAGTAAATTGAGAATTTTAAGCAAGGTTTTATTCTAGTTTGCGGGAATTTCAATCATTTTCTTACCAAATTTGGAGATTTAAATTATTACTGAAACTAGTGTATTTGCCCGCTCTTTCCCCGGTTGTAAGAAAATTAAATATAATTAAATATTAATGACATAGTTTTTGTCACGACCCAAAATCCCACCTTAAGGATCGTGATGTCACCTAGTCTCTAAAACTTGGTAAGTCGATCACTTACAACAGTTAAATCAATAAAACATGATATTATAAAAGCAGAGTTTAATATAAATGCGGAAATAAAAGTGATACAAGCCAACACGGCGATAATCACAATAAATCCCCAAGACTAAGTAGTACAGAGTCACAAGCTCTAATTGAATACGTAAAAATAACTCAAAAGTACAGTATTATTTTGGATAGAGAATTGACAGTATAAATATACGAAAAGGGCTCCAAGGGACTATGACGAACAAAGCAGCACTACCTCGAATCTTTGCGATCAAAGAAGCTCTCACAGCCGGGGTCCGCTACCTCCAACACCTGGATCGGCACAAAAAATATGTAAAAGTATAGTATGAGTACACCACGGTCGGTACCCAGTAAGTATCAAGACTAACCTCGGTGGAGTAGTGACGAGGTTCAAGTCAAAACACTCACTAGTCAAATATAACCTGTACAAAATGTCAAAGACCGACAACAGGAGGAATAACATAAGCAATACTTGAATCTCATCAAAATAAGTGATAACAGTTTAGAACAATTAAAGGTCCAGTCTCGACGATAAGTCATCAAATTGAATCACACACATATGGCACCTTGTGCCCATATTATCAATTATCCTCACACGGCAAAGACCTCGTGCCACAACATAAGCCACACTCGCAGAGCAAAGATCTCATGCCACAATATAAGCCACATGTGCACGGCAAAGACCTCATGCCATAATATAAGTCACACTCACACGGCAAAGACCTCGTGCCACCACGTATGTCGTACCCGTGTCAGTTACCATTAACATGTTAAAGAGGGATTTATCGAGAATCAAATAAAGTAAATCATGATAATGATTTTCTTTTTACTTTAATCTATTATGTTACCAACAACTCAACAGAATATGAGATAACAACTCCACGTAGGTAAATGCATCTTGGCAACCAAATCATCAAGTAATAATAGAGACACTAATTAGCACATTGGAAATAACGCAACAAATCACGTAGAATGCATGACATACACAAGAAGTCATAAACCATTCCAACAAAAGAATAACAATAAGAGTCACTCCGATGTGCCACATATCAAAATATCAAATCATCCTTTTGACGTCGCGTGGGCTTCACATTTTTAATACATTTTCCCGAAATAGCTTCACGCACATAAGCCCCTTATCTCGCCGCGTGTGCATCACAATAAAGTATTTTCCCTTACTTGCACCACGCGCATGATCCCCCTTATCTCATTGCATGCACATCAATATACACATCACCCTTATGTCGTCGCATGCGCATCTCATCATAACACAACAATCAACCGTACCACAGGTGCACATATGCCTCAACATCACCACAACAACAACACCAATATCACAATAACATATAGTCCACGGCTCAACAATAATGTGTACAATAATCATAACAATCATATAAGGGCAAGGGTAATGAACAACAATAAGAGTGCTTCAAAAAACAAACAAGTTCCAATTTAAGGCAAATTAATAGCCTAAGTTCTAATCCGGTCAATTACCATACATACGTCCATGTACACACTCGTCACCTCATGTACATGTCGTTCCACATAATACAAATAATGTAATTAGACCAAATCCTAAGAAAAAATTCTCCTACGCAAAGTTAGGCAAGATATTTACCTTAAATAAGCTAAACCAACACTCTAAGAAGCCCGTCCCGCAGAAATCAACTTCCGGACGGCTCGAATCTAGCAAAAATAACTTAATATCATAAAATAAAAGTCATTGGAAACGATTTTGAATAATAAAGCTTCGATCTTTAACTAAAATAAAAAAGTCAACCTCCGACTCGCACCCTGAAACCCGACAAAACTTATAAATTCCGAACACCCATTTCAATACGAGTCCAAATATATGTGTTTCATCAAAATCCCATCTCAAATCGACCCACAAATCATCAATTTATGTTTTAGATAAGTTTTACGAAAACCCCCAATTTCTTCTATTTGTTTCATTAAACAATCATTAAATTCTAGGTTGGAATCATGAAATATAAAAAATTCGAGTCAAAGATACTTATCCAAATCTAAATCGTGAAAATCCCCTCCAAAATCGCCCAGATCCGAGCTCTATAACTCAAAATTGTGATAGAATAACATAAACCCTCGAAATAGAGTACTTAAATGGTCTGCCCAGGTATACACATCGCAATTGCGGAACAACCTTTGCGATCGGGAATAACAAACTCACCTAGCTGCTGCCCTCTTCTTCGCAAATGCGACATCCCATTTGTGAACGCATGTCTAACCCCGTTGTTCCTACGGGAACGCACCCAATCTCCCGCGAACGTGAAGACCAAAAGCCTGATGCCCAATCGGTCTTCCCTTCTACGCAAACGTCACCACAGGCTCGCGATCGTGAAGGCCACTGTCTCCCTAACCTACGCGAACGCGGACATCCCTTTGTGAACACGAAGAACAAAACTCACCTGCCCCCAGATTACCTTCCGCGAACGTGACCTTTATGTGGCGAACGCAAAGAAGGAAACTAGACTTGAGAAAATCAGCAGTCCAAATCAAGAGGAAATAGTATGAAACCAATACGAAACACACCCAAGGCCTCCAGAACTCCGTTCAATCACACCAACCAATCCAAAACATAACAGGAACCTGCTCGAGGCCACAAATAACACCAAACAACATCACAACTACGAATCACACCTTAATTTAAGCCTAATGAACTAGTGAACTTTCAACTTTCAAAACTCTTGTCGAACCATATTAAATCAACTCGGAATGACCTCAAATTTACATGCAAGTCCCAAATGGCATAACAGACCTATTCCAACTCCCGAAACCAAAATCTGAACTCGGTATCAACAAAGTCAATTCTCGGTCAAACCTATCAACCCTCCAAACCATCAACTTTTCAACTTTCGCCAATTCAAGCCAAATCAAACTAGAAATCTCCAAATCGTCCGGACATATGTCAAAGTCCAAAATCACCATACGAACCTATTAGAATCATCAGAACACGAATTTGAGAACGTTTACACCAAAGTCAAACCTTGGTCAATTCTTCAACTTTAAGCTTCCAAATATGAGAAATTTCTCTTCCAAATCAAATCCCGAACTTCTCGAACATCGAAACCAACCATACACACAAGTCGTAATCCATCGTTTGAAGCTACTCGAGACCTCAAATCACCAAACAGAGCGCGAAAGCTCAAAATGACCAGTCGGGTCGTTACATTCTCCCCTATATAAATATATGTTCGTCCTCGAACGTGCCAAGAATAATTCTGAGGTAATCAAATCGCTGCATATGCTCATCATACACTCACTAATGGATGACCCCACAGCACCACAAACCAGAAAAGCCCACCAACACAATCTCGACTGTCAATTCTACCTTCAACCTTAGCCAATAAGCTTCAGAACCAAATTTCAACATCCATCACTCCTTCTAAGGTCCAATTTTTGCATACACACATTCTACGATGCCAATGAGCTGCAAAAAGTCGTAAAAATATATTCACAAGACATAACCACACAATGTAACCCCTCGCTAATATGCCCATAACAATACCTCTGAACACAATAGCTGCTCATCACACAACCCGGTACTGAATACCTGCCTCATATCAAATAAAACCCCGTTCTAAACCTTCGTACGCTATCAAGCATGAAAGAAATACATAGAATCTCATAACCACTCATCAGGTCAACAAGTCATGGGGCTCACTCGTCCGAGAAGAATCATAGCCAAAATCTAAGCCGATTAATAACAACCTCATCCCAACATGCCTTATCCAAGTCTGATTGTGCAAATTCCCGGTCCAATAACCTTATCTCACCCGATAAAAGCTGCTCGACCAACATGCCACACCTAATGCAACCAAGAGTCACATATGACACAATTCGCACCCAGCAAGTAACAACTCA